CAGACCTCCCAAACCACAGAGCCCAGACCATAGAGAGCCCAGGCCTCCCAGACCATCGAGAGCCCAGGCCTCCCGGACCAGACCACCCAGCCCAGGCCCCCCAAGACCATCGAGGCCAGGCCTCCCAAACCACTGAGCCCAGACCATCAAGAGCCCAGGCCTCCCGGACCAAACCACCCAGCCCAGGGACCCCTGGACCACCGAGCCCAGGCCTCCCAGACCACCGAGCCCAGGCCATCGAGAGCCCAGGTCCCCCAAGACCATCAAGGTCGGGCCTCCCAGACCATAGAGCCCAGACATCCCAGACCACCACCACCAACCACCATAGTGACTACACAGAACTGATTTTCCACCTATAAAGTGCTGTATGGGTTCAAACACATCTCAAAGCTCATTTATGCTTTCCAGAAATACCACTGAAGGGTTTTGGGCAGGCACGGGTGGCAGGAGGGGTAGCACCAAATACCATCCCCGTGCAAGCCACAGTGCAAGCAACCATCACCACCAGCATTTTTCAGTGCCATTCAAGAACGTAGGATAGCCCACACATTTCACAGGCTTTTTAATTACTATTAAATACCTGAAAGCTGTAACTAATAGAACACCCTCCTGATCTACCGCTAGACCAGCCCCTTTTCCATCCATACCCCTTCTCTGCAGGGACAGCGCACTTGACTTCCACAATTCCTCCAAATCCAAATTCCTTTACAGACTTTTAAAACTAATTTGCCTCTAAGTCCTTCAAACCGGACTCGGCCCTACCTTAACGAACACGCACTAGCGCTAAGATTTCCGTTAATTCTCTTTTATCCCACGGATAAAGCAAGCTTTAGGCTGGAAATTACATGCAGCCAGCTCGCCAAAGGCTGCCACGGAGAGGATGCTAAGGATCCTTCAGATTTCTCCCCCTCCGCAGGAAAATCTATTAATTAAACCTATGCAAACGTGGCACACGTGAGGAGGGAGCAGCCGGAGGGGCCAGCCCGACTTTTGGGGTACCCTTTGGGGCACGGCTCTGCTCCCGCCTGGAGCGGCGTGTTCCCGTGGTCTGACACCACCCACCACCAATATTTGCAGACGGCTTTCCACGGCGAAACGCAATTACTCGGAAGTTTTCAGAAAGCAAACAGGAGAAAGTGTTGGGAACAGAGTTAACGGAGCCATTAAAACAATTAAACAAACATCTCGGGTGTTTTGCTCCCTCCACGGCAGCCTCCTGCTCGTTTTATCAGCGGCTCCCCCCGTGGTCTGACACCACCCACCACCAATATTTGCAGACGGCTTTCCACGGCGAAACGCAATTACTCGGAAGTTTTCAGAAAGCAAACAGGAGAAAGTGTTGGGAACAGAGTGAAGGGAGCCATTAAAACAATTAAACAAACATCTCGGGTGTTTTGCTCCCTCCACGGCAGCCTCCTGCTCGTTTTATCAGCGGCTCCCCGTGGGCTGTGCAAGGTGTAGAAACCGTGGAATCTGTGTTTTACAGTTAGTAGAAGTTGTTATTTTATACTGACAGTTATTTTAGAGAAGCCAGTAGCCACAGGTACACTGTTTTAAAATCAGCTGTGAGCCTATACCACAACAGTGGCTTTTATATTTCACAGATATTAAGAAGAGTCTTAACCCCCAACGAGACCCTGCAGCAAAAACCCCAGAAAGCCACCAAAACCCCACCACAGACAGGGTTAACGGTGGCTTCAACCTACCCACGAGGTACCCAAACTGACCCAACCCCAGCGAACACAGCAAACGCTGGCATCCCCACTGCAATCACAACTTTCCCACGCAGAGGGACGCGAGGGGAACCCTTTCACCAGCCACAAAACAGCTGTGATTTTCTCTGATTTGAGCACAAACTCCCCAAGCCGCTGTTTTCTCTTCCCCCTCCATGGTTTGTATTTTTCCCCCTCTTCACTCCAAGGCATTTCAGCTGCCCAGCTGACCCGCTGGGTTTCAGGCGACTGAACGGTCCTCTTTGCTGATGCTGGCCACAACCCGTGAACATCTCCCGCATTCAGATTCAGCGCTGCTCTTAACCGCAGCCCATCTCCAGAGACACAATTACCATTCCCTCTGCCTTGATCTTGTTTGTTCAGCTCGACACCGCCAAGAAAGGGCTGACGTGGACCTAAACCCCAGCAGTCATTTCTCTGCTGCTGGGCATTCATCATTGCCACCGCGGGCACCGGGAACGCCCCAAAACCAGAGCCAGCTGGCAAACGGCAACCGCAGGAGGCGCTGGGCAAGCACACGTCCCCGCAGCATCCCCAATTTTATGTTAAATAAAGGGTTGTCCACATAGAGTCGCTCATACACACTGAGGTGCTGCAGTCAATCCCGGAGCTAAAATGGGATTACATGGACTGGATGTGCTTCAACCACTGCTTAAAATACTCAGAACAGTTTAGGAAGTATTATTCACCTAACAGGCCCAGATAAATGTCACCGTGTACAAATGTGCTCTGTACCTTCCTACGGACAACGGCATCATCTCGCATCTATTTCAACAGCATTTCTGTATTGATTAAGCCAAATTCAAGTCTGTGCATACTTGGTGTGCTTTGCAAATTGGTCCTGGTCTTTGGGTCTAAGTGTTTCTGTGCATGCAATATAATTGAAATTAAATTGGAATTTTCTACCTTGAATTTTCTACCTTGAATTTTCTACCTTGAATTTTCTACCTTGAATTTTCTACCTTGAATTTTCTACCTTGAATTTTCTACCTTGAATTTTCTACCTTGAACTTCACACTTAAATTTCTCCTTAAATTTCCCCCTTAAGTTTCTCCTTAAATTTCTAACTTAAATTTCACCTTAAATTTCTACCTTGAATTCCATTTTGAGGTTGCTGGGGGCTGGCCTGTGTGTCACTCATCGCGTGGTCTGGAAATGCCACCAACACCACAGCGCTGACCCAGGTGATGCTCCCTGGTCTCCCACCCTGCCCTTCACAGGGGAAATAATGGAGATCTCCCAGCAGAGAGAGGGGAAAAACAAAATCCCTAGGGCTTGGTAACAGAAGCACCCACCTGCAGGAACTCATTGAGCTCGACCTGCCCGTTCTTGTTCAGATCCACTTCGTTCAGGATATCGTGGAGCGTCTTCTCAGCAATTTGCACACTGATGCTCTGCACGCAAAAGGAAATAAATAAGACAGAAGAGGACATCAGCTGGGCTGTTCGGCGCTATTCGTGCCACAGTCTGAATTTCAGATACGAGGCTTCAGGAGGAGGAGAAGGAAGCGCTACCTCCAGGACACGCTGCACGTCCAGGATGGTAATGAACCCTTTCTTGTCCTTGTCAAACATGCGGAAGCGCTTCTTGTACCTGCGAGATAAGGGCTATCAGTGCGCCGGGAGCGCTCGTCCCCAGCGGCACAGGGAGCTCCCCGGCTTCCCCTACCTCTCGATATCCGCGGGCTGCAGGCTGATCTCGGAGCTGTCCGTCAGTTGATCCGATTTCACCTTGCAGCCCATTTCGTAATAGAGAAATTTCCGAGCAGTTTCGAGTTCTTCCTGCAACGACACAAAAAGAAAAACGGCGGATCTGAGGAACAGCAAGTTCTTACGCTATCATTTTTAATGTAGTATTTATCAGCTTCTTCCAGAGTTTATCTAAGGTCCCAAATTCCAGCAAAGAGTTGATCCAACTGAACCATACCTGACCGCTCTTACAGACTTCAGTGTAAGCAGATCAGCCCTAAAGTCCCAAACCATCACAGACCTACTTAATGTCTGAATAAGATCTGAATTAAGGAAGGCTCTTCTGGATGGGCACTGAGCTGCCTCGTCCCTCAACCTGGGATACAGCACATGCAGAACTGCTGTAACAACGCGGCACCTCAAAACGGCCCCATCTACAGCAGAGATGCTCGGTATCTTGGGGGTTTTAGCCTCATTTGAAAGAAAAGGAGGCTTTTCCGAAAGAAACACCAGTGGAAATTGAGGGAATGTAGTGGCTGCTTCCACTTCATCTTCCCTCCTGCAGGTTCGGTGGTGATGGGTGCCCACATCCCAATTCTCCCTCCTGCAGGTTCGGTGGTGATGGGTGCCCACATCCCAGTTCTCCCTCCTGCAGGTTCAGGTGGTGATGGGTGCCCACATCCCAATTCTCCTCCTGCAGGTTCAGGTGGTGATGGGGGGCCCCCTTCCCATTCCTCCTCCTGCAGGTTC